GGTTTTAGCTGAAAAATGGAGCTTTTTTGTAAAGTGGAACTTTTTGATCATGCTGTATGTTAGCTGTAGACCTTGAAATGTTAGCTGTAGACCTTGAAATGTTAGCTGTAGACCTTGAAATGTTAGCTGTAGACCTTAAAATTCGATGAAGATGTTAAGTAGAATTATTGCTGTATTAAGATAATTGTATTCTATCGAAATACAAAAATTAAATAAATGAAAGTTCTTAAAATAAGTCTATCAAGTTGATAATGGAGTTAAAAATGGTGTTTCAAACGAGCCGACATTGATTCTAGTTCTAGAAACTCTAGTTTTTAAAGCTGAAAGTTTCACTTCCAAGTTTTCTTTCCAACCTGCCAATAAGGGTAAATGATCGGTCCACGAGCCTCCATTCTGAGCGGCTAGAGTGTGCGAGACGAGTGACTGCGAAGTTGCACCAAGTGGATCAAGTGTGGCTGCAGTTGCCGATGTGGTAATGGTTGGCACTTCCCATTTGAAAAGATCAGGTCTGAAATTTGTATCAATCGTATCTTTTATACCGTAAATACTCTAATAGAAGCACCTTCTAGTTTACTCTGAAACAAACACTCATATCTCGACACCAGTACGTTTATTTCTGTGCGCTTAGGTATCAAATTAAAGTAGAGATGATGGGTGATTTTTTGAGATATAACACATATTTTTAGCATCAACCAGTGCTTAGAAATAATGATTGAAAAATGATGAAAAATCGGCCTTTTTTGCCACTTTTCAATCATTTTTTTCTAAGCACTGTTTGCAAGAAAGCTGTGATTGGCTTTATGGATTGGAAATGCTCGATTGGAAATGAATGACTGAATAGAATAAGCCTTTTTGAAGCTTTTCGATTGGCTTTATGGATTGGAAATGAATGACTGAATAGAATAAGCCTTTTTGAAGCTTTTCGATTGGCTTTATGGATTGGAAATGAATGACTGAATAGAATAAGCCTTTTTGAAGCTTTTCGATTGGCTTTATGGATTGGAAATGAATGACTGAATGGAATAAACCCTTTTGAAGCTTTTCGATTGGCTAATTGTAACTAATTGCTTTTACAAGTACTTAAAATTTTTGAAACATAAATGTAACTGCAAAAAATTTGGATACTTGGTAGCTAGTTTACTCAGAAAGAAATGATTTGATCAATAAAGTGAATCAATATAAAATCAACTGAAAAAGAGATGTTTTGATGTATTGTTGCAAAAATGTATATAACTATTGGGTTGATGGAAAAGTCCTTTCCGATTTTTTGGGAGAGTACCTTAAATTTGTCCAATTTAGACGTTTTATAGCTCATCCTAAAGCTGAATTCAAGACGGATCGATTGATAAAAACCGTTTTGAGATATCTCTTTTCCAAAAGTTTTTACAGCTATTTTAGTAAAGGGCGGGAGAGCCAAAAAATGGCAATAAAACCAACTGTTTATAAGTTGACTTGTAAGTCGAATTTATAAGTAAAGCTTAGGCTCTAGGCAAATAAAGCTATGGATTAGATAAGATTCTTTCAAAACAAAAGGAGGTATTCAAAAAAAGGTATTGCTTTGGGAAAATGGCTTTGAAATGAATCTTTTAATGAAATCTGAATGACAGATAAAGCTGTTGGTAAATGAATGAATGAAAAAAATGAAATGAATCAAATAACTAAACCGAATTGTGGATGAATGAAAGGTGGATGGATGAGGGGAACGACTTGAAGTGTGTTCTCAACTCGACATCATCTCGACATGGATCTCGAATTGAAGAGGAGAGACACTCAATCTTCGAGGGAAAGTTCAAGAGGGATTTGATGGGAAAAAAGAAAGATTAAAGTAAAACAATCATATTTAATTGGCATAGTCAATGTTTGAGTCTCTTTAGTGAAACAAGAGACTATTCTAGATGAGATTGGGAAAAATTGACTTTGACTTTGTTTCAGCAAATCACCTTTGACTTTTCAATGACTTATGACCTGGCCTAAAGCTCTAAGCCTTTCGAAAGAAAAGTTTTAATTCTAACTGCTTCAAAGTAAGCGTTAGGCAGTTAAGAAGGCTAAGAAGGCTTTCGTTTGAGATAGAATTGATGATAGACTTTCTAATGGTAGATGATGGACTTTCTAATGATAGATGATAGACTTTCTAATGATAGATAATAGACTTTCATGTATGTATGTTTCGGAAAACATTAATAGACTGAAACATGTATTTTTCATAGTAACTGCTAGACATAGGAAAATTCCAATCCGAACCTAATTCCACCTTCATTTTCTTGGCTGATTCTTGGCTGAAATTTTGTCTACAAATAGAAATCGACATTACCAGCGAATTCAAAACAACAAACACACACACACACACGCTCAGGCTCAACAACTGCCCACAATTAGTGATTGATTTTTCCATAAAAAGGTAATGTTGAAAGTTTTGAAACTTTTTTCTGAGAGTGAGCAACTTGAGCTCCAAATAGTTGATTGATTGATTGATTGAAGAATTGGTTGAATGATTGATTTTTTTCACGAAAGGTAATGTTGAAAGTTTTGAAACTTTATTTTCGAGAGTGAGCAACTTCAGCTCCGAATAAGTGAATTTAGCGAATCCAAATAAAAAGTAATGCAAAAGAATAAACTAAGAAAAGTTATAATAGTAAGTAGAGTTCTAAAACCTAAAAGTAGAGTTCTAAAAGCTAAAAGTAGAGTTCTAAAACCTAAAAGTAGATTTCTAAAAACCTAAAAGTAGAGTTCTAAAAGCTAAAACTAGAGTTCTAAAATCTAAAAGTAGAGTTCTAAATTCTTTCTATCAAGTTCCAAGAGAAATCCGCAAAAGCCAAATCTCAACTTTTGATTCAACCGATGAGAGATGCGACACGATGTTGGATATTCTTTTTGCCTTTTGGAGAAACTCTCGATCTCCAATCTCGAATCTCTCAAGATTGGCATCGAGCTCCGCACTCAACCCCTTCAAACACACACACACACACACACACACACTCAAACTCAAGTGTGTTCGGGCAACCCCTTACTCACTTTGTTTCCTTTTGATCGATGCCGGGTGTTGGATTGAAAGTCGCCGGTGTCGATGTTGTTGCCGATGAGCCGGCGAGAGTTTGAACGTTGAACATATTAGATCGTTGGGGGGATTGTAGCGTCGAGATTGGTCTCTAGTGGATTGAGCCTCTCGAGACGAGTGCCCACCTGAGGGCCTGCAATTTTGGGGTGGGCTAGGGGTGGCCAGCGCTGGCCACAGGTTCTCCCTAAACTCCGCCCATTGGGCTATCGTATCCCGGTCCCCAATTCCCAATCGTTGTGCAAAAAAGCGGAGAGGGAGTGGTCAATTGGGCTGGGGAAATACTTTCTGAAAGTTAACTTTTAGTTTAACTATCACTTGACTAGAGTGCTAAAGATCTAAGATCAAGTAAAAACTATGTAGAGGTATGTAAGTTATGTAAACTATTAAATTTAGAGATTTCTAGTTTTCGTCTGCTAAATAGAGAGCTTTATCTAATCAAGTTCTTTTTAATTTTATAGCATTAACTTGCAGAAACTGCTGAATTAATTAAAAGAAAATTCTTTAAACAAAAAAATGGATGTTTCAAAGTTGGACGAATTAAGCGCCATTCGTCTGGCGCTAATGGAGCAGGTCAATTTTTTTTAAACGAAATCGAAAGGCAATTTCTATTTCTATTTCTATCAAAAGCCGATTTCACTGTCAAACTCAAACAGTTGTTAGCTTCAAATGATATTTTTGATCAACTATACTATAAAACTATAAAACAACTACAACTATAAAAGGCTATATAAAAGTTAACCACCAGAACTATTCTTGATAACTTTTTCTGAGGAAACTTTGTTATCTTTATTGTAACTTTGATATAACCATTTGAGTTAAAAGCATTGGTTTTTTTCACTTCTAGATAACGATTTTCTCGATATATCCACTTGTCGACTGTACAGGATTGTTCAGGATTATGGGGACTTTAGGTATCTTTTGATATTGCATATTTTTGCTTACAATTTATATACCGTATTTTCTCTAATAGTAGTGCACCTAGATCGTCGTCTAAATTTGTCTAAATTACTCGAAATCTCGAGAACCGCTTATCAGAACCTATCGATGTGGGATCGGAAAATGTAGCTGACGATGAGATCTTGTGGGGATTTGAGTGTTGAGCTTCTGCAAAGCTTGGAAACCATAAAATAGTCACCAACTCGGTTCGGCGTGGTGCACTACATTAGAGAAAATACGGTATATGAAGAAAATCTTAGCTTTCAGCGTATAGATACTTTATTCAGGACCTGAAAGCGATTATTATTCTTTATATATGTTGTGTCCGATTTAGATTTCCGTCCGATTTAGATTGAACTTATCGCGGACGTCCGATTTAGATTACAGTCTATATCGGACGTCCGATACAGATCGAACAATAATAAACGTGCTTAATATATGTTCTTAAGCGTTTTTTTTCCAATTTTCTGCGCTTTTCAAAGAAATTTTCAAAGAACATATGTGAAGCACGTTTATTATTGTTCGGTCTGTATCGGACGTCCGATATCGACTGTAATCAATAAAAGACCTTTGAAAAATGCAGAAAACTACAGAAAACGCTTAAGAACATATATTAAGCATGTTTATATTATTGTTCAATCCATATAAGATTTAGATTGAATCTAAATCGGACGTCCGATATAGACTGTAATCTAAATCGGACGTCCGCGATAAGTTCAATCTAAATCGGACGTCCGATTTAGATTGAATCTAAATCGGACGGAAATCTAAATCGGACACAACATATATATATATATACCGTATTTTCTCTAATAGTAGTGCACCACGCTGAACCGAGTTGGTGACTATTTTACGGTTTCCAAGCTTTCTCAGAAGCTCAACACTCTAACACTCAACACTCTAACACTCAGCACCCCACAAGATCTCATCGTCAGCTAGTGCACCCTGAGCGTCGCCTAAATTGCTCGAAATCTCGAGAACCGCTTATCAGAACCTTTTCATGCTTTATCTACATAAAAATCTTTTGACTTTCGGCCACATCTTCAGTTTTAAAAGTTTTGTTTCCAAATTTTCAGAGTCATTGTAGAAACTACTCTAACAATTGATTGAAAAATCGTTTTTTTTCCACCTAATTCCTTTTTCAGTTTTCCTTGTTAAGCTCGTTTTCGAATTTGAAAACAGATGCAAAATTTTGAAACGCAAAAAGCCGATTCGTGCCTTGCAAAATCTTTCTTTGCTTTGTGAAAATTTTCTCAGCTTTTCAGCTTTTTCGGATGAAAGAAAAATCGTATTTTTCCTTTTTTCCGCACGGAAATATGACTGTGTATTTGGGGCCCGAGGATTCATTGTGAATTTTTGTGTGCTGAATGAATGGGAATGGATTGGTGGATCTAATTTCAGTGTATTTCATATTTCAATGTCTTTCGCCCAATGCCCCAGCAATTCCCCGTTTTTCAATACAATAACAAACACAAACAAATATGAGATTCTAGGAAATTTTCCCGGGAAATGAAAGAAATGAACTTTGATGGAATTCGTGAGAAAGAGAGCAAATTCAGCAAAATTTTCTCAAGTTTTAAGCAACTAAAAAAAAGCAACAAAAACTTGTAAGCCTAATCGGGTTAATCGGTCAAAATATGTCAATATCTGCATTTATTTTGGTTTCAAATGTCCAACAAGTTCTAAGAAAAAGACAAAAAGAAGAGAGAAAGGTCGGCTGGTAACAGAATACCGAGTAAGCAAATAAATTAGAATTTGAAGTAGAGAGTCACTTCTCTCTAAGTATTTCCTCTTTTTCTCCTCTTTTCTCCTCTTTTTCTCCTCTTTTTCCCTCTTTTCTCCTCTTTTTTGCTTTCATATTTACACAACCGATTATTGGGGGGAAACGATTACGCAATGAGTCACTCAAATAAATCATTTATGAGGATCGGGTTACGGTACGACGTTAGGTGTAGAAAGTTTAAGATTTACATTAAATAGTTAGTTTTCTAAAAGACATTAGAAAGTATTGTACTCAAATTGTGATTAGAATTTGCAAAAGCGTCACATCACTGCACAAAACTAAAAAGACAAAAAAGAAAAACAAAATTGGGCTGAAATTTTGCAATTAGGGGCTTTCGAGGATGAGGAATTCGAATCCGTTATTTATTTTTAAAGAAAACGGCTATTTTTGGATATTTCATTCGGTTTAATTACTCAAATTTTTAGAGTTTTATGATGATTGGCTTGGAGATTGCTGTTTTTGTTGTTGCTGTTGTTGTTGCTGTTGTTGTCGCTGCTGTTGTCGCTGCTGTTGTTGCTGTTGTTGTCGCTGCTGTTGTCGCTGCTGTTGTCGCTGCTGTTGTCGCTGCTGTTGTTGCTTGTTGCTGTTGCTGCTTGTTGCTGTTGCTGTTGTTGTTGCTGCTGTTGTTGCTGTTGTTGTTGCTGCTGTTGTTGCTGTTGTTGCTGCTGTTGTTGCTGTTGTTGTTGCTGTTGTTGCTTGTTGCTGTTGTTGCTGTTGTTGTTGTTGCTGTTGTTGTTGCTGCTGTTGCTGTTGTTGCTTGTTGCCGTTGCTGGTGCTTGTTGCAAGTTGCTCAAAAACTAATAACGGATTCAGATTTTCCATCCCAGAATGCCTTTGGTTACAAATTTGCAGCTAACATAGATAGCTGTCGTCCGAAAGAGCCAAAAAAGCAGCCAAAAAAGAATTTATCGTGAATGTGTTAAGTTGAAACTACCATAATCACAAGGATTGATGAAAGAGGAAATTATTGCTCGTTAAAAGACCAACGATATATCAAAAACATTGAAACATATATTTTTGAATGAGTCTTATCGCTTGATTTCACTGCTAAAGTAACCCTAGATGATATCCAAAGATACCCAATGATACCAAATCAAATGGCTGATGGGCTGGTCAAATAAAAACTGATGGATTATGGTAGTTTTCTAAAAATAGATTTCTTTTAGAAAGTGAATTAATCGAAAGAAACATTCTATTTTCAAGTTAAAGGATTACAAGTGACTTTTTGCGTTTTTTAGTAATATTCATAGACACAAAAGTAGACTCTAAGTCAACTCCAAAGTCTAATTAGAGATTACCGTAAATACTATAATAGTACCCCACCCCCCCCCCCCCCCGCGTACAGTCGCGTAGTCGCAAAAGTTTTTTAGTACTTCATTTTTTTCAAAGCACCCGTACTTTCAAAAGATACGTCTTTGGTATCAAAAAAATAGCCCTGAATTTCAGCTATTTTTTGATACCTAAGCGCGCATTGTAGCATAAACCAGTGTCGAGAAAAACGCATTTAAAACTAAGACTACGGAACACTCCGCATCAGGGTGGACTACTATTACAGTATTTACGGTAAGTAACGCTCAATAAATGCTATTAATCAGAGCTGTGCCTAGGACCAATTTTTAAACCCAGACTTTTTAGGCTCAAAAGTTTTTAAGGTATTCGTTAAAGATTTAATCAAATGCCATTGAATTGATCTGCTTTTATGTAATCATCATTCAATTCAGGACATTTTTTTGTGGCGAATGGATATTTAAACATGGAAAGCGGATAGAAAATGACATTTCGTACCCCATCGTACAGGCGCGTAGTCGCAAAAGTTTTTTAGTATTTCTTTCTTTTTACAAAGCGTTCGTACTTTCAAAAAATGCGTCTTTGGTATCAAAAAATAGCCCTGAATTTCAGCTATTTTTTGGTACCTAAGCGCGCATTGTAGCATAAACCAGTGTCGAGAAAAACTCGTTCAAAGCTAGACTACGCAACAGTCCGCACTGTCATTATGGGGATGGGGTACTATTACAGTATTTACGGTAGGTTTAATTAGAGGAAATTTTTGAAAACTTCTTGCATCTGTTCAATAGTATAAATTTTTTTTTTTGCTTTAGCTCATGATTACAGCAAAAAATCAGCTCGATTAGATGAAAACTTTGAAACAAACTTTTTTTCAACGCTTAACTTTTTGTTTGGCTTTGTACAACGTCCATTGATCATGGATTTGCAAAAAATTTAACAGAAATAGGCCTTTACCAGAGATTAATCGCGTTACCAGAGTTACAAATTACCAGAGATTAATCGAGTTTCACCTTCAACACTCCGACAATTGTAATTCTTTGATTTGT